TTTGAGGACCAGCCAGAGAGTCAGCGTGTGACTTTGGGAGTACCTTCCCGGGACTCTGACACCATCAGGCTTGTTTGGGATGATTTCAGTGGGCAGTCAGGGGAGGAAGCCAGGAATAACATTCCTTAGATCCCTTCAGAGTCATAGCCAGAGGCAGAGCCACGCATGGCAGTATGGCCCTAGACATGATGGCAAGTGCCCCCCTAAGCAATCCCACTGAAGCCTCTCCAGTCCAGACCTCTCAGTTGGAAAAAGCAAGAATGCACCTAAAGCAATTTAGACAAGACCTTTCAAAACTCAGCAGGGCAGCCCACTGGTGGGCCATAAATATGGAGTGGTTTCCATGCTGTCTTATGGGGTGTATAAAAGGACCACTGGGCAAACACACAGGCTGCCTGTCAAGACAGACTTTACCCTCAAAAGGAGAGCCCTCCCCCAAAGTGGGATAATCAGGACAGGAAGCCAGCTGAAAATGCTCCAGCCCAGAAAAATTAAGCAATTTGCCTGAGAAAAACTTCTTAATGGCAAAGTTGGTTATGAAAGTGCTAGTGTGTGTGCACAAGACAGAGAAGAGCATGGTGTGGAAGCTGGCGGTGCTGTGGGAGAAGAAGAGGTGTGCCTGGTGGGAGCTGACAGTGTGCACGCGGGGCAAGCTGAGGGGGAATCCACAGGAACAATTTCAAAGGGGACTTGGGTGTCAGGTGCACATAAGGAGGGGAATAAATCATGGAATTTTTGCTGTAGGCGTTATGGATGGATTTTCCACTGATATAGTCTTTTCCCTACATTTCCCAGGCCTTTTGTAAAAACAAAACAAAACAAAAAATACCTATGCTCCTTTTTCTGTACATTGAAAGAAAAAGCTCAACAAAGCAGTCTGGATCTTCTTTCATAAATAGTAGCTCTCTGGAGTGTCTAGGCGAGCGGTGTTTGGTGGGTTGACTTAGACAGGGGATGCAGGGAAAGGTGGGTGTGTGTAGGGCAGAAGATGATGTTAAGGAGTTGGCTGTAGGTCAGTAAGAGTTGGTGACAGGAATCTGGGTGTTCAAGTGTAGGAGAAGGAACAGAAACTTTGAGGAAAGATTAGAAACAAACAATTTTCTTGGTGACAGAGGACATATGGGAATCAGAAAGACAGGAGAGACAAACTCACATACAGGGTTTCCTGCCGTGAGTGGTGCCATTGGTAGGAGCATCAAAAAGGTATGTCAGCCTAGAGAGCTGTGTGGGTTCCTGGACTTCGGAATGCTTGACTGCTTGGTGCTATCTAGCTCTCTGGGGCCATTGCCTGCCTTGGAGAAAAAGAAAACACATCCAGGGAAGCGGACTGGGGTGGGAAAGCTTGGTCCCACAAGCCATCGAACTGTCATCTGTGGGCATCACTCTGTAAAAGCATTTGAGGTCAGGCAATTAAAGTAACCCCAAGAACGCCTCTGGGTTCTCCTCAGAGATCTCAGTTGTGCCAAATCAATGCAGCTCTCCTTATGAAAAATCAATTTCCCTGGAAAACAAATTTGGGTTCTAACCAGTAAGTAGCATTTGGCAAACTCTCATGAAGAAAACCAGTGTTTGGCGAAGTGAGGAAAACAGCAAATCATTGAGCAGAGCAAACCTGGGAGCCTAGTGCCATCATCTCAGGACTGTGACAGCTGCTGTCCCCATCAGCTGGGAAATCCAAAGCTGTGACTTTGTTTTCAGATCTTACCAGCCCTGGTCTGAGCCAGCCCCTTCGGAGGGGAGGGAGAACAAAAGATGACTTGGAGCCCAGTTTCCTCTCCTTGATCAGTGTGTAGAAGACAGTGACTATCAACAGCAAGGACCCAGAGCAAAAGCCACCTGGAGGTCACAGCCACACCTTGATGGTCATCACAGTGGGAGCTGACCTCAGCATGGGCTGAGATTTCTTCTGCCGCTATTTAGCTGGGGCAAATATTTCCGGATATTCCTTTTGGGTCAATCATTTGACCCATACTCTATCCTCACCTGAAGGTTACCTAGCTAATGTGACCCCCCCCCACACACACACAGGTGGGGGCTCCTAGGGAGCATCACAGAGGGACCCCGTGAAGATGTGGAGTCAGATTCTTAGGTCTGGAGAGAGTCTTGGAGTCTGCATTTCCAGCACGTTCTCCAGTGGTGTGGTTGCTGCTTCCTGCACGTCACATCTGGAGTGGCAGGGCTGTGGGAGAGCCCCGGAAAGTTTGGTACCACACGACACCATAGTCACCCCTTAGATGTAGGAAATGGGGCTGTTTCTTGACTATGTCTCTTACATGAATAGATGGCATTGCACAGTGTGTGACTCAAGAAACGGTGACTCTCAGATCTGACACATATGCACTTGGAAATCTCATGCAAAACATACCTTCCTATTCCTTCTAGGTTGTATGTGGTGCAGGCTAGAGAGGCTGGGTGTCCTCTGGAAAGGTTCGACCATTTCCCTTGATGCCCAAGCACTTGGGGATGGGAGCAGTAGAGCCAGGCCCGAGCTGGCCTGATGCCCGCCTCTTGTCCATGGCCATGACATCCCGTGCAAAAAAGCACGTTGGAAACATTGGTTTGTCTTCTGCTACTGAAGGCCCATTGTCGAGTGTTCCAAAGTTGCTTTCAAATAGCTTTTGGTGATCTTGTATGTGCCACAAAACACAAAAGTGGTCATTTTTCTAAAGTACCTGGAAAAAGTCTAGTAATTATTGTTCCAAACAAGCCTCGTTTTCTTGTGTTTAGATTTTTCTAATATGGAAAGAAAAAAAAAAGTTCTCAAATGAAAGGACTGTGTTATGCCCTGGCGGCTCCAGGTCATGAGTCTGGAGGACCCACCCACACAGCGACATCAGACATCACCGTCTTTGAAGCAGCAGCTACTACCATGGGGGGTATGTTTACATTACTCCCTTTTATGGCTAGGGGTGGTGTGGAGCCTGTGGTGGAATTATTTTTAAAAATATCTAAACAGTAACTGAAGCATTACTGTGATCTTCTCACTGAGCTCATGGAAAAACTCGAGTCATCCAATGTTAGTTTTATAGAGAGGGGAGTGCGGATGGGTGAGATCACTAGCCTAGCTCAGACCCCCTCCATCTGGCCAGAGGTGGGGTGTGCTGGACTGGCAAGTGGAAAGCGTGCTTCCCGGACTAGTGTCCCAAGTTAACACTGCCGGGTTTCCTGGCCTGGAGGATGCTTCCTGGGATCAGGCCTGCACTTGACTCTATGGGTGTCTTCCAGCATCCTAGACCAGACAGTCAGTCGTTGAATTCAGAGATGCGTTCTGCTTTCTAGCAGAGCAGAGGTTGTTTGGATGGGCTTGGTGCAGCACTTCTCTCTGTTAGGAGTCCCTCGTCAAGACCTCCCTCGTCCACCTATGGGGCTATCAGCCTCCTCTCGGCTGGCACCTCCCTCCAGCAAATCATTGAATAGCTCTTGCTCCATGTCCCCTTTAGGACCGAGTCTCCATCTTTTATCCCTCCCTTGAGCCCTGGATCAGGCTGCCTGTGGACATTCCACTGAGATGAATCACGTGTACCTCAAACTCATCAGGTCCCAAGCTACTCATCTTTCCCTGGCAGAGTACACCCATCTCCATGGCCTTCGTATGAAAAACAGCAGCAGCTGCCATCATGATGCCAGAGTCTCAAACATCTCCCTCATCCTTGATGCTTCTTTGTCCCCCAGCACATAGCATGTCAGTTACTTTGCTCACAGCTGTGACCTGACAGGAACCACTTTAAGATGGCTCACAGTCCAAACGAGGCTGGCTGGTGTGGCTGGGAAGGTGGGCAGCAGGGGCTGCCTGCTCACTTCTCTGTGGATCATAGGCAGAGCATGGGGACCATTCCTGCTCACCTTGTCTTCTTTTTTCCCCTCTTTATTCAACCCATGGCCACAGCCCATGGCATGATGCCACCCTATTCAAGAGGGTTTTTTTCTCTTGTGGCTGATCTTTGGAAACACCATTGTAGACACACTCGGAGTCCAGTGTCACTGATACATACCCTGGCCATTTGCCAGTCCAAGCCAGTTGGTAATGAAAGTTCTCCATCACACGGAGTTCACATGTTCCCCTGAGACTAGCTCCTAGACATGCCTCCTTCACTTCTCTCCCACCCTCCTGTCTCCCATCTCGCTTTATTTTATCTGGTCTTCTCAAAGCCTGTTCTTGACACTGGCTGTGACATTTGCTTGTTTCCCTAACACTGGCAGGATTCTTAGCTTGGATCTGGGCTCTGCTGTCTGTACTCTCATCTCCTGCCCTGCTCTTGTCTCCACCCAGCATGCTTCAATCAACTGGATAGCTTGGGTCCTCTGCCTGGCTAAGTCCTGTTCAGCCTTAAGATTTAAAAGCAGATGCTATCAGACTTGGCGTGAGCCAGGTGCCTACTCCAAACGCCTAAGCCCCCACCCAGCTGCCTCTCTCCATGGTATCTTCTTGGCTAGGCCCATGCTCTCCACATCTGGGAGCTCACCCCTGGGGCTAAGTGGAACCAGGTAAGGGGCAGGTGACTAATAGGTGCTAGGGTAAGGACTCGCCTTCTCACTGTGTGACTGCTTGCATACTTTGAGCTCCTCCCGGGCATGTTCCTAGCTCTTCCCTCTCTTTGCAGCATCTACCTGGCATTCACAGATTTTTACTGAAACCAGGTGGGAGATTCCTGATTGCCAAGGTGTGAGCCCCACCCTTCCCCACTTTTCTGTTTTCTGTCAACAGGGAGATTTGCTTCTCATCTACCGCGTGTCAGCATGGCTGGTGCATCTGGACTGCGCCTTCCTTTGGACCCGCACTTTGTGCGTAGTGGGAGGAGGTTGTGTGAGCAGGCTGGGCGGTGCAGGAGGGCGCGGGTACTTAGTAGTGGCTTTTCCTGGGAGGCGCCGGCCGCCCTTCCCCGCCCTCGGCCGCTCCCTCCCTCCAGCTACTAAACGCAAAGCGCGCTGCTCCTCAGCTCTCACTTCTCCAGCGCCTCCCGCGCCTGCTTTCATCGTGGGTCCGCACGCGTTCCTGCTCCATGGCGCTCCTGGTGCAGCTGCTGACCCTGGCTCTGGCACTGGCCCTGGGCCCCACCGCGACCCTAGCGGGGCCCGCCAAGTCGCCCTACCAGATGGTGCTGCAACACAGCCGCCTCCGGGGTCGCCAACACGGGTAAGCCCCAGCGGTTCCGTGGTGGGCGGTGCAAGGACAGGTCGCTGAGCTGCCAGTGCACTCCGCTGGGGACATCATCGTATCCGGCCAGAGTTGCAAGGGACAAAGCCCGAAGGAAAAGCAGCTAGTGCACAAACAGACTAGCCCTGTGTGGAGGCTGGGGCGAGGTGGGGGTGATGCGATGCGGAGATCCAGTAGAAAACTTTGTGGCGAAAGGGTTGGGGACACTGGCCAGCGACCACAGACTCAGACCAAAGTGCGTGAGACAGCCTAGGGTACTTTCAGTCTTCTCTCCTAACTCTAGATAGAAGGGGGCGTAGGCAGCTCTCAGCAGGAATCACCTGGCATGCTGAGGTGTCCACTGCAGAGGAGAAGCCCAGCCAGGTCACTTGGTCAGTGACTCCAGGTGTGAGACTGGTCACACCAGGTAGCAGGACCCTGGCGTGGCTCTGCACCCAAGCATCATCCCCTAACAGTGCTTTCTGGCCACAAGACCAGTGTGGCACCTGGGAAATGAAGAGCAGGACACACTGGGAAACGCAGCCCTGAGTGGGCACCAGCCGATCATGCGGTCTGCCCTGGAGCCAGCATTGGAATGGGTCTTAAAGCCATGGCCAGCTTTGAAAATGTCAGTCAGTAGGGCTTTGGGGATTCTTCTGGGGCACTGCAGATGTGTGGGCTTCAGGAGACACACCTGGGCAAGCGTATGCCCCTATGAAACCCTGGCACAGGCGGTCTGCACAGTACTTCTGCACACAACCGGGCCATGCCTGCTTGGAACAAGGCCAGCTTTGCTGCACTTCAGTCTACCTGACTGCACCACCATCATTTATGCTAGGGAAAGCTATGTGGAAAGAGTGGAGTGATGACTTCAGGAGAGGTCCAGATGTCCCACACCCCAGGCTGTGCCCAACTCTCCAAGAGACTAGACAGATCGGTACTCAGATTAAAACAAAAAATCCATATGGCTAGTGAGGGTTGGCTTTGTAAGAGGCTCCCCAAACAGGGTATGCTCTGAACTTGGGTAAAGGCTGCCACTTTTAGGGAGAGGTCACCCTTCTTCTGCATGTGGCTTTCAGATCTTACAGTCCCTCAGGTCTCAGGACTTGGGGAAAAACAAGCTCCTGGGTGCAGGACTGCACAGTAGAGCTCAGCTAGGTCATGCCACAGCCTCACCCCCTCCAGAAAGGAGGGAGGCAATGCAGAGGTCTTGGGGCCATTTGCTACTTAGTCTGTGTGCATGGAAGGTTGAGAGGGCAGATCCAGAAAGGGCAGATTCCAAGTCTCACAGCCAAACAATGACTACTGGAGCTGTCGTCCCTGCCCTGGTCACCTTTGGTCCCAATGCCTTTCTTGCATGTTGTATTCAAGTTTGAGGGTTCTATACCTCCCTTCTCTCAACCACTAAGAAGATCTCTGCATCGTTGTCACCCAGAGCAGCAATGTTACAGTGACATGAAGTCTCTAAACATGCCACACAGATCTACCACACAGCCCAGCCTCCCTCCCTCCCGCCCTCCAGAGCCCAGCACACCGATTGTTAGGAAAACTTGAGCTTTTACAGGCTGATGTGGACCAGTGAGGTGGCTCACTGGCTGCCAAGCCCGATGACCCACATGGAATGAGAGAACCAGCCTCCCAAGCGTCGTCTTCTGACCTCCACACACTCACCGTGGCGTGTGCTCCCCACCCAAACACCAATGCACAATGATTGAGACCAGCCTCTCTGATGCATCCCCTGTGCTTCCGGCACTGAGCTGGAAAACCTGTAGTAACCTGAGCTAGGCTGAGCCATGGGGAGATGACAGTGCCCAGCAGGGTGATGCACTCCTTTAAGGCCAGCTACTCCTAAGGCTGGGGCAAGAGGTGAGCAGTTTAAAGAGATCCTATCTCAAAATAAATATAAGGAAGACTACATCAGCACCCCTCCCCAAGGGAAATCTGGATGCCCGGCACACAAGCCAGGGCAAATGGTTGCAAGCATGGTTGCATTTACTCTGATCTAACCATCTCTGAAAAGCCACGGGACTGCCTGGCCTTGCACGCATGGGTGTGGCCCCTGTGCAGATGGATAACCTTGTTCCAGTTCCAGCTTTTTATTCAAAGTGAGCAGCGTTAGAAAAGGGGGGCGAGTTTAACGGGAGTGCAGAGTGTCCCACGAGGGAGGGAAAGGACATTGTGCCTAGCTGCTGAGCCAACAGTGCACACACTGCACAGTCACCTATCACCCTGGTACGTTCATCCCCACAGCCCTGTATCCAGCACGGTGGGAGCCACTGCAAAGTTCCTGTTTTACAGAGGGTGAAATCAACCCACGCTTAGGATGCAAATACAAAAAGCTGGCAGGAGGTGGGGATTCCTGGGTGCTCTGTTGGCTCCCAGCTGTGTCTGTGTTACTATTGGAGCGGGGAAACTAATTCAAAAGAAGTGAAAGTGCAGCCGCACATTTGAGCAGCATCAACAGAAACAGGGTGGAAGTTCTGGAAGCCCCTGGTTTTCAGATGCAACTGGAATAGCAAAGCTGCTGGTCTTGGGGCAGAAGCCCAGAAATGGCCTGCTAATTTTGATTACATTTCAGTATAGATTTCCTGTGGACACAGCTTATCCCCACCCCCAGCTTCTGCTCCTGTCACAGGGGCAGGAGCAGTGCAAACTCACTCTGCAGAGGAGAGGAATGCTGGAGCCAAATCCACAGAGACTCACTGAAGAGCCACAGAGACTCACTGAGGAGCCGCTGGCCGAGCTGCCGGCCGCCCACGGAGAGCTGCAGGGAATTCATCCACAGTAATTATTTCCTGCTCAGCTGGACAGGAGAACCCGGGATTCTACAGCAGTAGGAAGATTTGGGGCTGGAGTGTGGCCTGTGGAAGCTCTTCAGGGGTTATTCAAGGACCATGAGACATGTGCATCACTGGCTGCGGAGTCTCTAAGCACCTGGTGAGCCCCCACCACAGTGGGCTGGCCCAGCCTTTACCTGTGGTCACCTTCCAAGCTTGACTTTTCACCCTCGACACTTCCCTGATGTCACGCCTGCTCTGCTCATTTACTGTTGCCTATTGAGCAACAACAACAAAAAGAGAAGAAATGGGGAGGAGAAGTAAAGGGACAAAATGAACAGCCACCCTGTCACCCAACCGTGGACAGTGTCCAAATGATGGGGTGGTGGCCACAGATTCCCCCAAATACCGTGCTTATCAAAGGATTCTGCGCTCACAGTTGGTTGGTTGGTTAGTTAGTTAGTTGAATTAGAGTGCCTTCAAACTCTGTGTAGCCCAGGTTTGCCTTGAACTCAGAGCAATCCTCCTGTCTCTGCATTGCATTTCTAAGGTGTTGAGAGCTGCCGTTGAAGAAACTGCCCACGTTTGAATGTACTTGAAGCTGGGGTACATGGAAGTCTTGCAAACACCCTCAGTCTGTTTTCTCTGCTTTTCTGACTTACAGTTCGGTCAGATGGCTGGTGCTTGCTCAGAAAGAGCCTCACCTGTGTGACCACACATGGCAGCTCCCTTGCCCCAGGAGCTCCAAAGAAGGCCCCACCTTCACCTGGCCTGAGCAACACTCTGGTTGCTCAGGAGTGGAAAATAATTCAAAGCTACATTCAGATGGCCTTCTGCAGAACGCTGAAGGCTCTAGAAGGCTCCAGAAAAGCCTTCTCAGCAGAAACCCAGGGAGTTTGCTTCTGCTTTTCCACAGTCAATGAAGATCTTTATAAACTAAATTGTTATAAAGCATTTCCAGAGTGCCTATTCCCCTCTGACTCTAACCAGGCTGAGAACTCTTGTCTTTACTGTTCTTCTGATGGTAGTTGGAGAGAGGGAACATCTGTGCTATATCCATCACGGGGTCCTTTTGGTAGCCAGTACAAAATAGAGCTGGCACCCCAGGTTAGAGTCTGGAACGGAGAGTGTTGTCCAGGAGCTTTCTGGGGGAATGGGGAGTGGCTCTGAGCACTGGGCCATGGAGAGTTAAGTGGGAGAGCACTCATGTCAGTCCTGACAGCAGCTGGCCCTGCACCCTAGTTTACAGGGTGGATACTCCCAGTGCCTTGTCCCAGGAGCCAGGCAGCTGGTCTAGACACGCATAGCATGTCTGTTTATGGAGCTGGCTGAGAAGTGCTGGAAGCCGTCCCCTCTTGACAGCAGGACCTGTGACGCGCATGCTGGGATGCCAAGTCTGTGCTCAGGGCAGGTACAGAGAGAGGGAGGCTGGCACGTCTCAGCAATATGGCTTGGATTTTCCTCACTCTCCTCATCTGTAACATGTAACCTAAACTTTTAAGGCTTTCACTTACACTTAGTAATTACCTGTGCCAGAGAAAGATGCTTAGTGTGTAAGACAGACAAGGAATTTATTTGAGAAGATTTTATGAAGGAAAGATGTATGTAGACCATGCTAAAGTTTACCCCAAACCACCAACAATGGCCATCTCTCCTCTCTCTAGACAGCTCTGCTACCCATAGGAGGTCCACACGATGAGATGGATCTCAGTGTGGGCTGACTTGCTGACTACTTCACTAACACTGTTGCTGTTGTTTCCAGGCCCAATGTGTGTGCTGTGCAGAAAGTCATTGGCACCAACAAGAAATACTTCACCAACTGCAAGCAGTGGTACCAGAGGAAGATCTGTGGCAAGTCAACGTGAGTATCTGTAGCGGCCCAAACCACCACCCACCAAGGAGACCACACTCTGTGTGTGTGTGTGTGTGTGTGTGTGTGTGTGTGTGTGGAGAGAGAGAGAGAGGGCTACCAAGGAGGCCACACTGTGTGTGTCTGTGTGTCTGTGTGTCTGTGTGTCTGTGTGTCTGTGTGTCTGTGGGTGTCTGTGTGTCTTCCAGTCATCACTAAATGCAACAACTATTCAGAGGAGAAGCTATGTGACTCTGGGAATGAAAAGCCGTTGGTGAACTAACAAAGGTCAGCCTTGCTCAACAAATGCCAAGGTAAACACTCCAGAAAGTCTTAGTGTGCCTAACATGTGTGCATCTCCAAACACCTGGAAGCAGTATAGCAGATTAAGACTCAGGCTCTGACTCCAACTCAGACCCTGGCTCTGCCCTTACTTGGGGAGGGGTCATCTTTTGTATCCTCAGTTGCCTTGTGTGCAAAATGGACACAGCATAAAGACCTGGAGCTGTAAGGAGGGTTGAATTGAGAATATACAAAGAGGAGGAATATGGTATCTGGTACATCATCATAACTGCAAACCCCAGAGTATGCAATGTAGCCCACACACACAGAAGGAAGGGGTCCCCCACAGAATGTGGTGGTCACAGTAGGTCTTGTGGGTGCCTCTCTTCATGGAGAGAGGTGGCCTTTGCCTTCGCTGCCTGGCTGCCTGGTGAAAGCAGTTGAATGCATGTTCTAACAGAACTCAGGGAAACCTAATCGGCTTTGGCACTGACAACCAACAGATTTCAGAGCTGGCTGTCTCTTGTGCCATACAAAACTCCCTGAATCACTTGTGGGGGCCTAACCTTCCTCTTTTCAGCAAAATAGGAAGATTTCCCTGAAGTTGTCCCAGTGTGGGAGATTTTTAAAATGTGTTCCTTATGCTCTTGCTTTCAAACAACTATGTCTAGCTGAGAGGAGGAAAATGCTGTTCCTTTAACGTGTTCATAGAACTGAATACCACAGTGTGTGGCTCGGGTTATGTTAGGCAGTTGCTGACCCTGGTCTCATACAGCAGAGCAGGCATGGAACCAGCAGCTCTCTGGGAGCCTCTGTACCGTCCATGGCAGCGGCTTCCACCCAATGGACAGCCCAGGCTCTGAGCACTGTGAGTTGGTCACCTCCCAGGTCCAGTGAACGGATGAGCATTGTGTGAGCTGCTCACTTCCCATGTCCAGTGAATGGATGCTCAGCAGAAATCTGTGCCATTTATAACAAAAAGAGATTATGCAGATTCTACATGGAACATCCTTGCGGGACACCCGAGTTTTAAAGACCAATACCCCCAGTACCACTAGATACATGATCTACTCAGACTTTAATTGTTTTATTAAATGTGAAGTCAGACCCCATGTAATTGCTTCTCAGGAGATGGTCAGTGTGCTGGTGCCAAGTGGCAGATCTTCATGCCAGAGCCTCTGGTTTTACAGAGCACCTGTAGCACGCTGGCCACAGGGTGGCATTTACCTCACTGTGTCAGATAGGCCTGTGTTACAGAATTTGACTGAGGAATTCATGGCAGCTTGATGGCATCCTTGAGGATGTTGACAGTGAGTTGTATTCATTTGCTAACTCCTACCCCTGCCAGGATGAGGCGCACAAGCCACAGGAGGCCGCTGGCAGATTGTCCCTGACAGAGTCTTCTCCTCTAACCTGATTTGGTTCCCAGAGCACAGTGAGGTAGTGGGACAGCCGTCTCACCCCAGGGAGTGCAGAGGCGAGGGGCAGGCACCAGCTCCAGGAAGGGGAAGATGTGTGGGGCTGTGGGTTGAAGAATGATGTTTTAGTGGGGTCAGTCAAGGCCCAAAACCATCCAGGTTTTGACCTGGCTCACAAGGCTAAGAGGAAAAGATATTCGCATCCAACTCCTGAGTGTGGCTGCTGCTTTAGGAAGCCTCAAAAAAAGAGGAAGTGAGCAGAGGAAAACATGGGCCGATTTAAAAACAAAAGCAACAAAAAAACTTTATGGTCCCAGAAGGAACATCACGCGCAGCCTTGGCCTGGGGAGGTGGAGCTGACTTGGAAGAGACCCAGGGGACAAAGAGGGGAAGAGGGAGAGATGGAACTCCTCTCTGTTGTCCTGGAGGACTAAGCCTCACAGGACACTGGTGTGCACAGAAGGGCGGTCTCCAAGGAGCTGTCTTCCGAATCAAGTGACTGGCTGGAGTTGATGTGGCCCTGGAGACTGGGTCCCTGGACTGTCTTGACAAGCCAGCATGCACACTGGCATTTTCTCATCAAGATGTCAGGGGGAGGCTGCAGCAGAAGTGTGCCTGGGATTAGAGGGGCGGATCCTCACCCAGAAGGGAATTTTGGTTCCGAAAACAGATGATGAGCACCAAGTATGGAGGTGAAGATCTCACCATGTGAGGTTACCAGATACACGGAAACAGGCCTAGTGAGTGTGGAGCCTAGAACCCCGTGCCTGTGCCTGTGAGGCTCTGGGTGCTGCCTTCCAGAGGGTGGGGGTGGCCCTGCCACACTCAGCGTGCTCCCTGCCACATCGGTGAAGCCACCGGGTCTTCCAGCAGTACCTGTCTGTATTTCCAAGGAGAGAAGTCGCTGAGACCGGTGCTGTGTGTAAAAGCGCTGAGCTCTGTCAGGCTGATCTACTGAACAGTGCGGTTAGCAGAGGGCTCCTGGTTGGTGAATTCCAGTGCTCAGCAATTCACTTCAGCCTTTACACCACAGCTGTAGCACCAGAGTGACACAAGAGACAACCAGACAAAGAGGCTTGTGGCTGGCAGACAGTAGTCCACTCTGTGATTTCAGACCCTGGTTCGAAAGGAAACCATAAATGTTTTATGTGTGGTTCTCGACCATAGAGTCTAGAGAGAAGCCTGGTTGCTTCCCTGCAGGCCTCTTAGGCGAGGCCAGGGGATAGGGGTCTGCTCAACAGACAGCTTGAAGGCGACACATGTCGCTGGGATGTCACAGCTATGGCTGGAGCCACAAAGTCCTGAAGGTGGAACAGAGGGCCAGTGTGGAAGCGAGCCGGTGGGAACGGTAGCAGCCCATCCCAAAGCCTGCCAATTGCTCCCCTGGCAGCATGGCTCACAGGTGAGAAGCCATTTTCTAGAGCCAAAATGGCAGGGCGCTCCTATTTCTCCAGGAGCTGCTGTTGCTCTGCCCTTCAGCTACATAACACAGTTCCTCAGCATTAGCAGAATTCAGACATTTCCTGGAGCCATCTGGGACCTAGTGGCACTCTCCAGTCAGCTAAAGGTCTACTCCTAGTAGACGTCATTCATCTTGGTCCCAAGGGGAAACGAGGCGGTCAGAAGCAGTGTGCACTGGCCCCTGACCATGCCCGAGCGTATTTCCTGACCCCGTCCATAACTTGCTCTAAGATTATAGAGACTGAGCGTACCCCAAATACTCCATGGCATGGAGCTTCCTAAAAATTCCAGATCTAGACCACTCTGTAAGCTAGGAATCTGCTTATCTGGTGTGGAAGTGTGTTCTATTGAGAACTTTCATGGGCCCATGTACTGTGTCGGGTAATGACCCCCCCAAAGATGCCCGCATCCTAATCTGAACCTGTAAGTGGTTTCCTTTACATGGAAAAGGGGACTTCATAGATGTGGCTGGGGTGTCACCCTGAGGTGAGTCTGGGATCACAGGGGTCCTGGTAAAGGGGGCAGAAGAGCCAGAGTTAGAGAATGGGTGTGCCGAGATCCTCATCTAGGGTGTTGTGACCACAGGCTAGGGAATCGGCAGAAGGGTGCAGATGGAGTTACCCAGACAGCTTCCAAAGGGAGCGTGGCCTTTGATTTCAGGCCCACGAGGCTGACTTCTGACTCTTACCTTCAGAGTTGTAACACAATAAATCTGTAGTGTTTGAAGCCACCGAGGTTGTGATGATTTGTCACAGCAAGCTGTCGGGAACTAGGAACAGCCCTTGCTGTGCGATTTGATCAGCAGTCTCATGAAGGCCTTACTTTCAGTGACACTTGTTTGTTAGATTATAACTCGGCTTCCACTTTGACATTTCTGTGAGGGTGTTTTTTATTTTCATCAGCTTGTTTTAGAAGCTCCATGCTGAGTTACTTATGATACACGCCACATTGAAATATTTCATGTATGTTTGCCAATTCAGTTCCCAAAGTCATTCTCTGACCAAGTAATATGGGATTATTAAAAAAAAAATACAGTAAAAAGAAAAAGAGCCCATTTGCAGGTGGGAATACTGAGGCTCCAAAAGCCTGCACCTCCTACTGAGAGTCGTTCATTGAGAAATGGAAAGGTCTGGCCACTTTGTGCCATCCCCAGGGACATTCAAGCTTGGCAGCTAGGGTCGCAATGCCACAGGTACCCAAGGGAGCAGGATCGGGTCTAGGTATACTGTCTTAAGTCTCCTTTTACAGCCCCAGATGTAAAGCCAGGGTCCTAGAGACAAATCCTCTTGGAGTCAGAGATGCCTTTGGGGCCAGAGTTACTAGTCACCTCCCAGGTCACCTCCCAGTGACTGATTTCAAGTCTGGTGGCTGTTATAATGACTGATGGGGGGCTGAGAACCAAAACTTCTCATCAGACAATGGGTGTGGGATCATGGGGACAGTCAGTATCCAACAGCCACCAAAATGTACTCCCATCCATATGGAAAATGCCTGAGCCTATGTTCTGACGTCACCTCATGTGACAGAGGCCTTTGCTGGGGCACAGTCGGTTAGGGAAAGCCCCGATTTTCTTCTGGAAACTTCAAGAATCAGCTTAGCCTCTGTCCAAGAAACAGCACGCAGAAAACGAGCTGTTCCTGGCTGACAGTCCCTGGGGTGTGCCAATATCTAGACGCCGTTTGTATGTGTTTGTTATGTGGTTTATCTCAGACACAATGACACGATGAGTGTCCCCATCAAAGGAAATTGCCCTCGGTTTCCATTCCTTACTCCACCTTCTCCCCCAGTGCAGTCAGTCTCCTGCCTCTTGCAGCTAGAACAGCAGCTAGACCCATGCCATGCATTTGGGGGAGTGAGTGTTTTAAGTTTATATTAGCTTGGTGGAAAACAAGTTTAGGGAGAAATTAATGAGACTTCTTCACATCCAACCCAAGAGAAAACAGTAGACAGTCATGGAAGAGCCCCCTACACTTTGACCTCGTGTTGAATTTATCTTTTTACATTCCTTCTTGGAATCAGCTACTCCCCCTCGTTTTCCTTCTATCCTAAGAAACTGGAACAAGGTGATTGGTAACTCATTGTGCTCGAGTCTGTACTTAATCAGGCCTGAGGGTTTTATGGACTGTGCTGTATGTGGCCAAGCCAAAGCTGGTAGCTTTAATCAGACTCTAGCTGATGAGCCGAGCTACAGAGGCCAGTAGCCTGGTCCTTCCTGTGAAGGGGCATGCAAGGAGAGGCACCTGTAGTTTCCATCCTTTTCTGCTGGGTCTGTACAGGTGGTATCAGATTTAAGTTCTGTGCTTACAAAGCCTGTGCTTACAAAGCCTGTATTCTCCAGGGGGCGTCTGTGTAGAATGGAGCATGGTACAGGCACAGGGAGAAGAGGACAGCTCACTGGCAAGACTGCCAACTCAAAAAGTCTGGTCAAGATTGCCCAATAAGTTGCTTTCTCTACCTGCAGTCTCCAGCCGCCCTGTACTACCCTCGGCCTGAACCGGCTGGTTCTGAAAAGGGATCATATGGTCCAGATAGCTAGGAGCATGGAACCTGCCAACTGCCGAGCCTGCTAAGCAGACAAGTGATGTCCTCAAATGAGAGTATGACCTCTAGTTATACTCCGGAGAGATGCCAGGAATGGCTGGCTGGCAAGCCCAGGAAGGAGGGGTCTCCCAGGCAGGCGGCAGGATTGGAAAAGGATTCACAGAGGGCTGCACTCAGTTACAGCATGGCTGGAGGTTTCCCACACAGCCTTGGAGACTGAACCTCTGCTGTGAGGACTGTGGTACAGAGGTCATGCTCTTGTGAAAGCAGGGTACTGTGCAGCCCCTGGGAGGGCAGGTTCAGCGAGCCCACCCCAAAGGCTTTGCCTTCTGTACCCCACACTCTAGAGACAGCAACCAAATCTGTCTGCTCCCTCCAAATGTGCACATGGGCAAGAGCAGTGGTCTAAGAGCGAGCCTTGATGAAACGGGAGAAAGCCTAGGGATGCCCCACGTGTCTAGGCTCTCGAGGACCCCTTAGTCCATCCGACGCCTCAGCTTGCTTTCTGACTCTGTCCTTCTGAGACCGCTCTGCTGAGGTCTGTCCCCTCCTCAGCAGCCCCAGCTTTCCACATCTCCTCATATCATTCTCCATCCCTGTCCCCACAAATACACACATACACTTTGGGGAGTTTATTTTCTTTAATCTTCACTGAATTCCTGGGGAGGCCACCCAAGCTGTTCAGCTGTCCTTTGGTTTGGGGGGACTAGGCTATAGTTTGGGGAACAGTCTATAGGCAGTGTAGCTGTGCACTCCCATGTTCCCATGGAACTTGAAGCCGCCATGTTCACGAAGGGGGCCCAGAGGGAGCTTTGTGGATAGGACAGTTTTCCCCAAGTGCTTCTCTGGCTCCATGGAATTCCACATTGGCACTTTGGGAAAGTGACTAAGTTGGGGTGATAGCTTTATCTTATTCCACCTCCCCAACTCCTGTCATAGAACTCTGGTGCTGCTTTTATGCTAGTTATTCATTCATTCATTCATTCATTCATTCACGTGTGTGAGTGGGGGCGGACGGAGTTCTGGTACCGTAGGCTCAAGGCTTGGGAGAAGTTAGCAGTGAGTGCTTTTCTTTGAGAGCGTTTCTTTGCCCCTTAGAAGTCCCTTGGCTGCTTGGAATGCTCACGCTGAGGCTGAGAGGCATCACAGAGCAGCTGTAATGATGCCCACTCCATGGATGAGAAAGTAGACCACACAGAGGAGTGGGTTCCCAGGTTACCCCACTAGTCGTCACTGAGGGATGCTAAGGTGAACCTCCTCATCCAGGATGGCTTCTCCTACACCATTCCGCCCTGCCCAGTTCTTCAGCAGCAGAGACGACCACGTTCAGAGGATAGCACTGGGGGTTGGTCAGTGTCAGCCATGATGTCACTGTCTGTTTAGTTCTCTTTTTTAAAAAAATTAATTAATTTTTATTTAAATTAAAAACAATCTTATTTTACATGCCTATCTCAGTTCCCCCTCCCTCCGGTCCTCCCGTTCCCCCCACCATAAACTCCTCAGAGAGGGTGAGACCTTCCATTTGGATCATCAAGTCTGTCACATCATTTGGGGCAGGACCTAGGCCCTCCCCATGTGTCTAGGCTGAGAGAGTGTCTTTCCATAGGGAATGGGCTCCCAAAGTCCATTCATGACTAGGGGTGAATACTGGTTCCACTGCCAGCGGCCTGTTTAGTTAAGTACAGGGATCAGGATGAGGTAAGACGGGACGATGGGACATGCAGAAGAGTGCAAGAGAGTGGAGAGAGCAGGGGACAGATGAATGTGCGTATGCCTTGTTGTTTCTCGGGGCGGGGGCGGGGGTGGGGGGGCTATGTCTAGCCAAGTGACACCTGTAGCTTCCTGGCGGTCTGAGAACCTGAACTATCCCCTGGGTAACAGATGACCACACTTCATCTTCACCTAACCCAGTCTTTCCTGAACAGACTCCAGAGGAATTCACAGGAGCCAGCAGCCTCCTCAGCACACACCCCTCCCCCCAGTGCCACATTTCTTCCCGCCTGCCCTGCCGACTCTTTTCTGATGATGTCATCCCTGAAAGAACAAGACTGGCAAATCTCCTGTATAAGAAAGAAACCGGGAAACTGGATTGTTTGCATTGGGCTCCAGGCCTTGGGGGAGGGGTGGGGGCTGCACGCCTGTGGCAGCTTCAGCACAGGGCAGCAATATTATTTGAAACTCTCTCATCTTCGGGGTGTCTACCGGGTATCAGGGTGGCTGGAGCATGTTTTGTGAAGTCCAGACAGCAGCCAGCGTCCCACAACTGGTTCCTTGGAAAGAGAGAAGACAGCCTTTACCTTTCTGAACAAATGATTTTAAAGTGCCCTGTACATTTTGTGTTTGACCAAACGCAGAGGATCTTGCAAACTGGTGCCTTTGGTTACCTCCCGGAAGACAGTGGGAACACTGAAGAAGGGTGGGTGGGGAGTAACTTAGGGTCATTAAGATTTTTAATGTAGAAAACTAGCAAAACAGGTCTTCATGAAGAGGCACTCTGCTTTTCGTTTGAAATCTGATTTGTAAAAACCGAGGGAACACAATGATCACTCATATCCTGCCTTTTGGGTTATTGAATCAAGTACTAAAAAAGCAGGAGAGAGCCAGAAACCAGAGCCCCTCCGCCCTCCCCAGGTGCGATTTGCATGTATGTGGAGACCTAGAGAAGAGGTGGAGCCATGGGTGTGAGGTAGACCGGCTCTCTAGTCCTCCCAGCTCCTCCCCTGACACCATCCCTTCGGCTTCCTGTGTGTGGTTGTTGGAGGTCATTGCTGGTTGAGTTATGTTTCTATTGGGCTATTTATTGAGCGTGCCACCTTCACCCGGTTTCCCAGGTGGTTGACTGCTGGTGTTGGCAACCATCAGAAACATTTTACAAGGCAGAGGTGAGATGCCCCTGGCCGCTGATTATTATTACGATCCTGTAAGCGGGGACATGCTGTGCCTGTCACCTGTCTTCCCACGACCCCGTGGCATTTCTGCCTGGACAGCATCTTGGGAAAGGGGGGATGCGCTGAGGGACATACTCCCGTGTCTCTCTTTCAGAGTCATCAGCTATGAGTGCTGCCCTGGATATGAAAAGGTCCCAGGAGAGAAAGGCTGTCCAGCAGGTGAGTGAGCCAGGGTCTGCCTGTGGGTGGACGGAAGGCCAAGAGGAAGAATCACCCTGTAGAAGGCAGTGGTGTCACAGCAGGGTGGGGGAACAGGGTTGGGTTGTCTCTTCCATGTGCTCGCTTACTGGGTTATGGGGTGCAGAGGGTGGGGGATGAAAGCAGTACCTCTCCTGTTCTACCCCCCCCCACCAAGCAGGTGGAGCAAAGCCCACTCCACTCTGCCCAGCCTCTTCTCCGTGGTTGCAGGCTCTGGCCTTGTCATCAGTGGCTGACAGTGGTTCTCAGGGCATCCAACAAGGCTGGCCCATCAGGTGCCCATCAGCCCTGTTGGGGATCAGATGGGATAACATGGTCTCGGGCCTCTAGAGCAGGATACTAGATGGGCAGGCTTGCCCTTGGGCAACAAAGGGCCCCACAAATGCCCCATTGGGCCAAAGATGGCACAAAACCTGTGAATTTTATGAGAACATTTAGTGCCACACAGCAATTATGTAGGATTTGTATTTTGTTTTAGCTTGAAATTCAAGATAGTTTTAAGATTAGGCTATGAACAGAAATTTAAAAGAGAAAGCAATTTGATTTAGTGTCAAGATCATGATGATATAGTTGGTGTAGCCAGGGTCATGGCACTGCTGACTCACCCGAGAAGGCTAGTTGAAGAAATAAAATGGGATAAGGATGTTGGCCTGCGGGGGGGGGGGGCGACTTAACTCTGGGAAAGAATATCAGATTATTTAAATATGGACATTAGTCTGTGTATGAGCAGACCTCTGTTATCCCAGCTCTCAGGAAACTGAAGCAGGAGAATCAACGTGAGCTGAAGGCCAGCCTGGGGCTACATAGTGAGTCTGTCTTAGAAAGTGAATAAATAGACATTCCAGTTGCCATCTAAGAGGGCCCTTCTCAACCGCAGATAGTTCCTGAAAAACACACCAAAGACCTGGAAGATTTACAGTCCTGTCGCTCTAGCAAATCTGTTAGTGAGCAAGTGGCAATAGATAGGGAAATCTGTAAGACCTGTTTGGAGTTTCCTCCCTGCTTTATTTAAATGCATAGGAGCAGAAGCTTTGCTCTGCTGGGCTGAAAACAATTAGAAACTACCCATTAGGCCTGTCCACACAGGGAGGCATTTGACTTACTGACTGGTTCTGGGAAACCAGAGAGTTTTAAGCACCTCTATCAGCAGATGTCTGGGGTTTCCCACCCACTTCCCCCTCCCTTCTCCTGGCAGTTGTGCCCACTGTCCTTTCTGACAAAGAAGCAAGGGCAGATGACTGTCTAGGACAGACTCACACCCGCCCCTCTGTCCTCTGCCTCTGCAGCTCTTCCACTCTCTAACCTTTACGAGACCCTGGGAGTTGTTGGATCAACCACCACGCAGCTGTACACAGACCGCACGGAAAAGCTGAGGCCTGAAATGGAGGGACCAGGCAGCTTCACCATCTTTGCCCCTAGCAATGAGGCCTGGGCTTTCTTGCCTGCGGTGAGAGGAGCCTCCTGCCCAGGGCACTCGTCCTGGAACCACCTTTCTCCTGAGACCTGGGCACACAGTGGGATTCTCCTGCTGTGTCCGACATCCTTTCCCTAAGGGAAAGTTAAAGCAGGGCTCCCTGGGTGCCTTCCAGTGGCCCCATCCTCCCTCTGGTGCTCATTAAAGGAGGGGCGCTTGGCAGAAGAGGAGTCTAGATCCACTTGGAGAGGGGCCTTTCCCTTAGAGGGCTGCTGCCTCTTAACTGCCCTACCCTTTCCTTCTAGGAAGTGCTGGACTCCCTGGTAAGCAATGTCAACATCGAACTGCTCAATGCCCTCCGCTACCATATGGTGGACCGGCGGGTCCTGACCGATGAGCTGAAGCATGGCATGGCCCTCACCTCCATGTACCAGAACTCCAACATCCAGATCCATCACTATCCCAACGGGGTAGGGACACTCCCAGTTACTCAGCACTGTCCTCTGTCCATCCCAAACCCACCTCTGGCCCAAGTCGGGTGTTTCCTCCGAGGGTTCCGTCCTGGGACTGATAAGCTGAGGCAAGCCTTGCTCCCAGGTCTTCTCTACAGACCCTCCTGCTTCACATTCTGCTCCTCGCCGGGGACCTGCTGTTTGCTCTTCCTGGAACCTCTTGTGTGACTCATCCTTGTTCTTCTCTGAGCAGATTGTAACAGTTAACTGTGCCCGGCTGCTGAAAGCTGACCACCATGCGACCAACGGCGTGGTGCACCTCATTGATAAGGTCATTTCCACTGTGACCAACAATATTCAGCAGATCATTGAGATTGAAGACACCTTTGAGACCCTTCGGGTAAGGGACTGCTGCTTTGAGTAGAGGCCCAGGCTGGGGACAACTGTCCTCCCCAAAGGGGCCTGGCCGGGTGTCTTCTGCAGGAGGGCCTGATGATGTCCCAAGTGTGGTGACATGGAGAAGACACTACTGAGCACTGAGCTTGACCTACTCCCAGAAATGCCCCTGTTGTAAAGCTTCCCTTTCTTTGTCTCTTGTGGATGATCCAGTGCTCAGTTACAGTAGCAGAGTTCTCTGTGCCCCGGAGGGTGGGGCCCTCATTCCTGATGCTCCCCCTACACAGGGCACAATTACAAGTCAGCTGGCATGTGCTTCTAGACCGGATGTCCCCAGCCTGGGGCCTCAGACCCATGTCTCCTAGGGCACAGACATTGCAGAGAGGCTGCCAGTGTGATTCAGGAGGATAATCCTGACTCCTGAGCTGGCTGCTGACAGCTCTGACTGAAGGAGTATGAACAATTGGAAAGGCAAACGGTTTCCGGTTGGCATTGGCCACACGTGAGGAAGTGAGCGCAGGCTGCCATGTCAGGGGTTTTGCCTGATTCAAGGAGAACTTCCTAACCACAGAGTACACGAGTGGGAGTGGGGCAGCCCCTCCCTGGAGATCTCCAACACAGAGACAAACACACACCAGCATGAACACAGAGAGAGAAAATACACACCAGCATAAACACAGAGAGGCCTTGGTGTTTGGGGAGAGCTCTTGGCTGGCTGTGGTATGGGGGGGAGCAGGGCTCTCTGAGGGCTTCTCCCTGCCTTTCTTCTGGGTCTTCAAGGGATTGTTACCCCAAAGTTGATAGCACACTCTTTCATTATCAGCACAAGAGTCCTACTGAGTAGCTTCCCTATACTGCTGGGATTCGCAGTGTAGCCCTGGAGGGAGGGATGGCCAGGGAAGGCTTCTTGGGAAGAAATGCTTTGAATAGAGAGGCCTGAAAAGTGAGAACAGCCCAGGCTGCTCAGCCTCACTGCAGAAGCACCGCTCCCTGCTCTAAGGAAGCCTATAGGAAGCCTGTGGTCTGAAGATACTGAAGGCCTTACAGACCAGGGAAGGCTCTCTATGGGGGAGCATCTCTGGCTGTTAGGAAATTGTTCTAGATGCTGTGTAACCCCGAGTTATGTGATCTTTACACTCCATAATCACTCATTCAGGATCACAATTAATTGTGGGGTGACAGTTGGGAGACATGTCGAGCAGGCTCACTTTCTTCAGGGGACCTGTGCCAAGGAATGACATTGTGGTCAAGGTTTGAAGGAATAGAAATCCAAGTAGCAGAGAGAGAGTGGGGGAGAGAGAGAGGAAAAGAGAGAGAGGGAGAGAGAGGGAAGGAGAGAGAGGGAGAGAGAGGGGAGGGAGAGAGAGGAAGAGAGAGGGAGGGAGGGAGAGAGAGAGGGAGGGAGGGAGAGGTGAAGGGAACTACTGGATAAAGTTGGCATGGAGTGAAGTCCATCACCACCTGGAAAATGGCCAATGTGGCTGGAGCACCGGCCCAGCCCTGTGGAGACCCTGCTAAGACAGAACTTCAGCCAGAGAGAGCTTCTCTCTCACTTGGGACTTCTCTAAGAGTCTGGAGTCCCCAGGGAAGGCATAGCCAGGGTGTGTGCATCTTGCCAGGTGAGCCTAGGAAACATTTCTCCTTCCCCACACAGGCTGCTGTGGCTGCATCAGGGCTCAATACCCTGCTGGAAGGTGATGGCCAGTTCACATTCTTAGCCCCGACCAATGAGGCCTTCGAGAAGATCCCTGCTGAGACCCTGAACCGGATCCTGGGTGACCCAGAGGCCCTGAGAGGTGAGCACCCTCGGCTCATGTTGCTGCTTCCTTGGAGCAGCCCACAGGAGCCCTGACCTATGCTAATGCCACAAATTTCAGAATGTCCACCACAACCCTGGCTTGTGTTCTTCCCAGTGGCCATGTCTGGTGGTGGCATCCTTCAACTGGAATCATCTTACTGACCTTTCATGTCTTCCTATGTCTGGCCAGAGACTTCATGGGTAACCAAAAATTCATAGTTAGGAATCAGTAGTAGTCAGTTGGTTTCCATTGCTGGTTCCATCTTTCAGCTCCTCAGTTAGGCCTGGAAGGTAGATTAGGAGTGGTCCCACTCTAACCTCACCTGACCCCTTTTAATTTTCAGACTTCTGAGGGTTCACTCACACTAAGCTGCCCAGTGAACCTCTAGACCCCGTAAAGTGCACATTCTTCCTCCTAAGCTTCACTAGGCATGGCTTCGTTTAAACCAACCTTGGCAGTGTACCATGCAAGATGCCTAGTGCTTTACAGACACCCTGTAAATTTAAACTCGTTAGGACTGGCGCGGGAAGACAGGACAGGAGGGCAGGACAGGACAGGAGGACAGGACAGGACAGGAGAACAGGACACTTCAGAGCACAGATGGAAGCCATGCCTAGATGAGAGTTGTCCTTTTAAAATATCTGTTCCGGGCTGAGAACTGGGGCTCCACAGTGAATACAGTCCAAAGTGTGCCTTCAAGGGAGTTAAAAGCTGGTGGGCAGAGGGCTTCAAAACAGGCTGTTGAGATATGGTCTGGTAAATGCAGTGAGGGAGGGAGGGGTTGGGATCCATAGCCTCCAGGGCTAGGAGACTCCCTGGGAGAGGTGTGGCTGCATCTCCACACATACACCTGAAATAACCAGATTGCAAAGAGCAAAGATTCCCTTTGGCTCACAGTCTTAGATGTGTTATTTCATGATCACGTGACCCCCGTGGCTTTCACACCTGTGGCTTTGGGGTTGTGTATACTAAGTGACCAAAAGCCCTCACAGTAGCCCTACCTTTTAAAGCTGTTACCACCCCCCAATAGCACCACCCTGGGGGCCAAGCCTTTGACATACAGGCCTTGGGGCGGGGGACATTTGTCATCTAATATAGCATGCATTAACGGATCTTTTGTGCAGAGCACATTTTTATATTCGTCGATATTAGAACTCATTATAGACTCCAGGTAGAGGCCTTTTGTTTACCTGCTTCTTCTGTGCAATAATCAGTTGGCTCAAATCAGGGGCCTGCCCTCTGCTGCTGTAGCTGCAGACTTGAAGGCAGACTTGGGATCTACATCCACAGTGCCTTTGCTTTGTGGTTGGCAGACAGGCAGGAGGCAGCCTGGGCTGGCATATCTCGTTTGAAGCCTGACTTCTGGTTCTATCCTTCTCACCCTTGAGTGGCCCCAAATTCACCCCAGGAGTGCAGTCTACTTCTCTAAGAAGCAGGGTCCCTCAGAGGCCTCATTCCTCTGGGGTCTTCTTGTCATTTGAAGACAGGGCTTACTATGCAGCCTAGGCTAGCCTCAAAGTCAAGGCAGTCTTGCTTCTGAGTGATGGGATTACAGGCATACCACCGTGCTTGTCCCTTCTCTGCTGACTGAGTAGGGTCAGTACTGGCTCTCAGAATCTTTTTCCAGCAACCTGGTGCCTCTGTTGGTCTCAGAGCTTCCTCCTCACTGTGACAGGGCAGTTTTTGTTCCCACACTCAAGGATAAATGGAAACTCACCCTCGTGGTGAAGCTGAGACAAAGGTCCCTGGTGACATTGGAGAGCAGTGACTGGGAACCTGTGGACTTGGGGAGGCATGCCCTTGACTGGTCCCTGCTGCTTCCTCTGCAGTGTCATGAATGAATGACTGGCAGCCTGTTAGAGGTGTAGGCACGGAGGCTTCGGCGTTTGACTGCCCCCACACATGCCTCCAAAGTGGCACCTAAACATGTGTGAGCAACTGGTGCAGACATCCCTAACGCAGATCCTGGCCACTAGTACCTTGGGGTAAGATGAACAGAGCCCAGAAAGCAAGACATACGGATAATTCACAGCTATCCTTGGGGGCAGTTTTCACCACGCCCTGCCTCATTCTGTGTCTTATAAAGGCCTAAGGCTCAAAAGACCCATGGTGGGCCTGTTGGAGGTTCCCCCTTTCCCCCCGCACATTAGGAAGCCCAGTGCTCATAAGCTGATGGCTGGTGTTTCTTTGTTGCACTTCGGGTCCAGGAGACAAGGCTGATCTCATCTGCTTACTCATAAGGAAGATGAGACTGAAGGAGGCCAAGGGGCTGGCCTAGGGTCCCACAGTTAGCTGATTGCCAGTCAGGGGATTCAAACCCAGGCAGTCTGCCCACAGAGTCCCAGTGGTTTTAGATAGCAGTAGACAAGAGACGGGGATGTGGTCCCTGTGGTACTCCAGCAAAGTCCTCAGCCACAACAGGCTTTAGAACTGTGTCCTGTTTTGCCACAGATCTGCTGAACAACCACATCCTGAAGTCAGCCATGTGTGCAGAGGCCATTGTCGCCGGACTGTCCATGGAGACCCTGGAAGGCACCACACTGGAGGTGGGTTGCAGTGGGGACATGCTCACCATCAACGGGAAGGCTGTCATCTCCAACAAGGACATCCTGGCCACCAACGGTGTCATCCACTTCATTGATGAGCTGCTCATCCCAGATTCGGGTAGGTGGACCTCAGGGGCCTCTGTCCTGCCCAGCTTCCTCCTCTTATAATACCTCGGGTGACAGGGCCAGCAATCTTTTGGGCCACTTCCTGCCCTTAATATAGTACACAGCCCTGTACCTATTGTGAACCTCAGGTGCAGAGGACCAGGCACTGTCCTCAGCCATCAGGGACATGGTAGGGCACCTAAGGAAGGAATGAGACCATCTTAGAGCTCTTTCTGGTCTACATCCCGTGGTTGGGCTCAAAAGGCCATTTTCTGGCATCACAGCATTTTCTGTCCTTAGAGAACCCAAGGCCACTGGCCCAGGGAAGATGACTGGATAGACTTTGGTTTCCATTCAGAAAGGAGAGAGGTTTTTTCTAAGGGAGTATCTTCAGAGGCAGCCTCACTGGCCACGCAGCCTCCTCCCTGTGGTCAAGCAGGCCCTGGCCAAGCCACCCTGGGGCCTGGGACAGTTCTTCCTGCTGCCAAATGTCTCTTACCTCCCTGCAAGCTAGGTTTTCTGATGACACAAGCATGCTGGGTCTCACTGTGTTCAGAGGACTGGTGACTCACGAGACGCAGTTCCTGCTAATATCTGTCCCATCTGGGGTGGGCCATGCCTTATGCACATGGCCCATTACCCTCTGAACTCCATTTCTCCTTCTTGTAGCCAAGACACTTCTTGAGCTGGCTGCAGAATCTGACGTCTCCACAGCCATTGACCTCCTCAGACAAGCTGGCCTCAGCACGCATCTCTCTGGAAAAGAACACTTGACCTTCCTGGCCCCTCTGAATTCTGTGTTCAAAGGTAACACGGGGAACACACTCTGCTGCTCTGTTGTCTCTGGGACGGCTGCCCCATCCCTACAGCACTGCCCTGATTTACAACGGCCTTGGAACCTTTCACCCACCATAGTCCAAAGCAGATGTGACTCCATCAGAAACTTTGGACTACCCATTGTTTATCTGAAACAGCCAAAAATGCACGGGGATTCTCTTCCTCAGAACTCAATATTTTGTGTCTTCCAGGAGAGTGGAGTAGGCTTCAGCTTTTTGTTTGCAGGGTCAACACTGGTGTATACGGGCAGAGGTCAGCTGAGCGCCATCATGGGGGATAGCGCTCTCCTCCCACTGAGGGCAGAAGTACAAACACCCTCCATATCTACACCTAGTTTAAAAAAAAACAAAAACAAAAACAAAAAAAAAAAAACAGATGTCAAATGTTAAGGAATTTTGGCCACCCTTGCTTTCCGTCTCCATTTCCAAGCCAAGGGAGGATGGGCTTTCCACTGTGTGTATCTCGACATCCACTTTATCTCAGGAGCCTGACCCTCTGGATATGTCCACCCCTTTGCTTGCAGATGGTGTCCCTCACATCGATGACCAAATGAAGACTTTGCTTCTGAACCATATGGTCAAAGAACAGCTGGCATCCAAGTATTTGTACCATGGACAGACACTTGATACATTGGGAGGCAAAAAATTGAGAGTTTTTGTTTATCGAAATGTAAGTTCTAGGTCCTAATTCACACCCATTCTTTGGCTTCAGCTCTACGAATTTTTTTTCTTTCTTTTTTTTTTTTTTTTGTCCTCAATAGCCAGGAACTTATGTAAGAACTGGCTTCTAATAAAGGGGAAGCAGTTTTTCAGTTTTTCTGAAAAGTACTTGATGCCAGACAACACTCCCTTCCCTGCAGGATTGGAGAATAGGGCTCAGTCCTAACTGAATTGCTGAGCACTGGGGCTACCTGGGATTCAACAGGATGGATGAGGGGGAGGGGAAGGGGGACTCTGGGTCCTCCCAGCCTTGTGTGAAGAGAAGCCCTATGAAGCTCAGCCCTCTTTGATACAAGACCTTCCCATATCAAATAGAAAGGACAGCACAAATTGCTCCTGGCCTGTGACCAAACAGGACCATTTGACCAATGAGGCTCAGTGACCAGTGAAATTAACCAGTCATGAAATCATCACTGGTTAAGTCAACCAGTCAGCTACCTCTAGTCTGTCCATTTGACCTTTGTCAGTGGGCCTCTTGTGAGACTGACACTGCCATGGAGTCCCTGTGTAATTTTATCAGAACCCCTGTGCCCACCCTTCCTTGAGGAACACTTCTGTGGGTGATCCCATTGCTGCTGGCTATGAACAACCTGGTGGCCCCTGCTGAAGGAGGAACCCATTTCCCCATCTCTCTCCCTCTTCTGTGCAGAGTCTCTGCATTGAAAACAGCTGCATTGCTGCCCATGACAAGAGAGGACGGTATGGGACCCTGTTCACCATGGACCGGATGCTGACTCCCCCAATGGGGACCGTTATGGATGTCCTGAAGGGGGACAATCGTTTTAGGTAACCCGTCTCATCCTAGGGTCACGCTTCTGCCAGGTGGTCATGCTGGACCTCGGCTCTTCTATCCTACTTCCCAGGGGTTGACCTAATGCTAGTGACAAACCGACATTATCATTCTTGGTTGGGGGTGTGAAGAGGATGAGGGCCTCCTTGAAGCCTTAGGATGGGAAGCAGGGCTTCTGCTAGCATTGTGATCTTCACATCCGTTGTTTTTGTTTGTTTTGTTTTTCGAGACAGGGTTTCTCACTATTGCTTTGGGGGTTGTCCTGGAACTCGCTCTGTCGACCAGGCTGGCCTCGAACTCACAGAGATCCGCCTGCCTCTGTCTCCCGAGTGCTGGGATTAAAGGCGTGTGCCACCAACGCCGGGCCTTCATACCCATTGTAATGGAGGGGCATTTTTATTACTACGCAAGGCTCTCTCTCACACCAGGAAGTCCCCAGTGAGCTAAGAGCACGGGCTTTAAGGACCTGTCCCATCTTCCTCTTTCTGCATTTTATTTATAGGCAGCGGAAGCCATCATGTCACTTTGCTTTCTCGCCTTGATCCCTCTGTTTCCAACTTGCTAGTTCTCCAGTGAGTGCTGTCAAGGCAAGGGTTTCCCCGGTAATGACTTCAGCCACCTCCCCAGGACTGGGAGACTGGGTGCTGGCTCCCCAGGGTCACACTCAGCACACACTGACTCAGCCAGGCTCTGGATCAGCCACAGGAGTTCTCCCCTTTCTCCTCCCTTCCTTCCCTCTGGCCATCTGCCCTGTGTATGACATTCGTTCTAAGTGAAGAGACATAGAGTACAGCAATCTCTCCTCCTGCATGGAGAGGGCACAAAAAGCAAACTCGTTTTCTCTGTCTGTCTACAGCATGCTGGTAGCCGCCATCCAGTCTGCAGGACTAATGGAGACCCTCAACCGGGAAGGGGCCTACACTGTTTTTGCTCCCACAAATGAAGCTTTTCAAGCCATGCCCCTGGAAGAGCTGAACAAACTCTTGGGTAAGAGCAATTTAAGCAGATATCCCCGATTCTCTGAAGTATCGGTCCATCTGGGCTATAACTGGACATGAGTGACACACTGCAAAGGGACCTGGCGATGAGGGTATTGTAGACTTGTGGGCAGGATTAAGGGGCCAGCAAACAGTGACAACAGTGGAAACTGGGGTGGGATGGGCTGAGGGCAGGAACCAGGGAGACTCAAGAAAAAGGACCCAGAAAACAGTTACGACAGGGACATGGCAAAGGGGGCCCTGAGTGTCCCACTCTTCCTTCTCTCCCTTGGGCCAGTTGACTTTCAGGTAGCTGTAGAACGGAGGTGATGCACTCAGTTTTCTTGGTCACAGTGCCAAGCAAAAAGAAATGAATCACTGAGGTGAGCTTTCCACCGGGGATCTGAGATAATAAACCCACTGATCTGCATTTAATGACCTCAGAGATAAAAAACAAAAAGACAACTAAGAATGTGGGTGAGCTCTGGGGTGCCACTGGACCTCGCTGAGCCTCAGTTTCCCCTTTAGAAAAATGAGGTTGGCAACAGCCCCTGACTCACTATGAGTGTGGCACACAGGACAAGCCACACATGTTTCATTAATAGTGGTGATGACAGTGCGATGGGATGGGGTGATGGGCTTTACCTCTGATGCATCCCCCCCCCCAGCCAGGTGAGCCAGAGGAGGAAGAAAAGGGCGAGGAGAAAGCAACTTAGGCAGCCTCGGAACAGGTGTTGCTTATGCCTTCCATCCTGCGGCAGAGTGGAAGGCTCAGGTTGCGGTTAGCAAGGAGCTAAGTTTGTGTCCTGTTTAATTTTCTTCATTGCCAAGCAAATGCCTGTGTCTGTAGTGCTGACGCAGGTTCCCGGAAAGAGAGGAGAAGTTGTCTGAACATAAATGTCCCGTCCTCTCTCAGCCCTGTAAGACTGGAATACTCTCCGGGTGGCCTGTGCCTGTTCAAATTCCCTCATGTTCAGCTGTGTGAGAGTCGAGGAGAGGTGTGGGAAAAGTTTCCTCAATAACCCTCAAGTCCTATGGGTAGAGCAAATGACATCTGGGAGAGGAAGAGTGGCCCTGGGACATGTCCCGGACACGAACAGGAGGCCCTGACTCCAGGGGAGTGGCTTGACTTTGCACCTCTGGGCCACATATTTGTGGGAGGGGAACTCTTACCTACTTCAGTGTAGATGTTTGGGGGTCCCTCATAGGTGGCTTTATCCCCTAGCACTACAGAAATGTGTTGATAACCAAATGAACTCTCTAGAAAGTTTGAAATTTTCCTCTGGGTTTCATGGTCCTGGGAACAGCTACCCATAAGCGCTGGCGAAATAAACCATTGGCTGTCTGTCTATGGGAGGCTCAGAGACCAGGGGGTAGCTGGCAGATTTAGGTGCTGCCTCTCATGTAACTTGGGAAAGACATCAGATGCCTGTCCCAGTTGGCAGAGCAACTGACGTGATGTGTGAAGGAGGAAGGATGCTGTGGAGGGAACAACTGCCTCCGCCCTGACCTCATCGGTTCCATGGCTCCCCCAAGCACAGCTGCTCAATCTTTCAAGCTCTCCCTCCAGGAAACGGCCATCTCCAGCAGAAACTGCCCTTGAGGGCATAATGTGTAAATATTTCACTACTGTGTTATAGTCAGCAGGAGCCATGTCAGTGATGAAGCATCCCAGATGCCGGCGCTGGAAAGGTCCCTGGCTTTCCAGGCAAATATTTAGCTCATGGAAACATGAGTCACACACGTAGAGGAGTATAGATTAACTCCTCAGCTGCCATGGAACCCTGCCTAACCCAGACGCCTGCTGGCTACAGGGCCAGGTCACAGCCATGGCTGGCTGCTGACCACTGCCCATTAGGCGGATAGTTCGTTATGGACTGTGCACACAGTGTGTATTCTGTATGCACTTCTGCTTGTTCAGAGAGTTGTCCTGTGCAGGAGAAACCACCGCTATCCTCTCCCGTCTATCAGCCTCACCAGTCACCACCACCCCTGTCCCTAACAGTGTCTCCCTTCCACAATTTTCCAGCAAATGCCAAGGAACTCACCAGCATCCTGAAATACCACATTGGCGACGAAATCCTGGTTAGCGGAGGCATTGGGGCCCTGGTGAGGCTGAAGTCTCTCCAAGGCGACAAGCTAGAAGTCAGCTCGGTGAGTGTGTCAGGGGAAGACGGGCTGTGTGCTGCTGTGAAGTCTGTAGGGCACTCCTCACCATGCACACAACTTTTAAGATGCTAACTGAACCTTCCAGGGTGTTTTGTCCAAAGAAAGAGAGAAAAGAGAAGAAGCCCTTAGGGGCAACAAGAAAGAGTACAGTTAGATGTGAATAAGAACTTCCAGGTATTCAGGTCAATAGGGCATCTGATGTGCACTGTGAAGAAGCCCTTTTAGAAAATGGGAAGTAGTTAGTTGCTCATCTTGAGAGGTCAGTCCCTATCTCCCTCCCCAGTCCAGTGCCCAAAGCCAGGCACTCACGGAGCTGTCCCATGACTGGTGTCCTAAGAGGCCCTTCCATCCTGACACTGCTCTGGGAACCATCTCTTGCTATGTGTTATAGCACCACTCAGTTTTGGAGCTATGTTCAGAATGTTTCTACCTTGGAAAAAGAACGTAGCCATCCTGACTCAGCAGAAGCTGTCCCTGTGGAGAGAAGCTGGTGCCTCTCTGCTCCTTTCTCTGGATCTTTGTTGTCTCTTACTCACCAGTTCCTTGGAGGGCATGAGGAGGATGCGGAAGGAAGCCTAGGAGAGATCTGCTTAACTTAAGGCCACTCATGGTCTCTGGGGGCTAAGTTTCATGTGTCAGGATCCTGTCTGTCACAGGCACATGGACTGTTCAAGAAAGCGTTCACCTTGAAGGGACCCTTCCCACCCATGTAGCTTCAAGAGGCTCTATGGCCTTTCAGACATGTCTACTGTAAGGATTCAGGCATTTTTCTGGCCTGCCCCTGTCACCTGGCAGAATGCACTCAGGCAGTGCTCTGGTCAGCCCAGGGTTCCATAAGTACTAGTCTGCACGCAGGTGCAAAGGACCCCTTTAAAAGACAGACCCCGCCCACTTATGCTCTCTTTCTGTTTCCCTCTCTCTCTCTCTCTCTCTCTCTCTCTCTCTCTCTCTCTCCTGCCCTCTCTCTGCCTCTGTGTCTCTTCACCTCTTTTCTCTTTCCTTCCCCCTTCCCCTTCCCTCCCCTTTCTAATAAAACTTGTCATTTAAGGTCTATCCGCCTGGCATGTTTGTCCCTCCACCTGGGTCACCCTTGCTGGCCATGGAATCTGCCAAGGTTCCTCAAGCTTTATTCCTGTTACGAGACAGGCTCCCTCCTTGCCCCCCGGGTGAGGGCAAGCAGCCTTCTGATTGCACTGAGCCTACATAAGGCAGTGGAAGTCTGCAGAGGACAAGGGCTGCCACTCACCAGAGAAGCCCTGTCACCCATGCACAGAATGGGTGTGGGGTCAGCAGGTTCGTGGTGAACAAACGAAGCCAGCAGGCTCCACGCTTAACAACTGTTGTCTCTTCTATTAGAAAAACAACGTAGTGAGCGTCAATAAGGAACCTGTTGCAGAAACTGACATCATGGCCACAAATGGTGTGGTCTATGCCATCAACAGTGTTCTGCAACCGCCAGGTGAGGCCCTAATCTGTGGTCCTAACTTAATGGTGCCCAAGAGTATGGCCTCCCTGTGGCTGACTGAAAAGTGAGTCAGGAGCCACAGGTTCGAGGTACAGAACTTGGGGGCATACTTTTTAGTGAGTTGCCTGCTGCCTCACTCCAACTTTGACATTTCCCAGCTTATATATTTACAAGGATGCTGGTGGCAGACGAGGCCCAGATATGTATGTGTATGTGTATGAGGACACACAGAGAAGGCCAGGCTGTGTTTACATGGGGACACTGGTGGCAGACAGGACCTGCCTATGTGTTTACATGTGGATACTGGTGGCAGACAGGGCTCAGCTGTGTGTGTGCATGGGGACACTGCTGGCAGACAGGGTTTTGTTGTATATTTATATGGGAACACGAGTGGCAGACAAGGTCTGGCTATGTGTTTACATGGGGACAGTGGTAGCCGACAGGGCCAGCTGTGTGTCCAATGAAGTGCTGGTAGCAGACAGTGGGTTTTCTTTCCTTTCTAGCCAACCGACCACAAGAACGGGGAGATGAGCTGGCGGACTCTGCCCTTGAAATCTTCAAACAGGCTTCAGCATTTTCCAGAGTACGTGTTCTCCCACTAGTCAGCCGTGGCTGGGTAGAGCAGCCTTGGGATCCACCCTGCCAATGGAGGCAGCACTCCCTGAGTTCCTGCTGTAGCAGCCTGGCTGCCCAGCCTCAGAATTAGTCTTCCATTTTCAGAGGCTCACCTGTCCTCTGCAGTGTGTGGCCCCTGCAGTGTGTGTGGAGCTGCTCTCCCTGGCCTCAGCTCTGCCTGCCTACTCCAGAATCTCTCTCTTCCTGAGCTTCCTTGAGGGTCCCGGCCAGCTTAGGGCATGGTGAGGGTTTCTCCGAGTCAGATTTAGCACGTTAATGGTTAGTATGTTACTAGAGCTCTGCTTTCAAGAGAAGAGGCTTCAGGCTAGAGTCCCGACCCTGGAGGCTGGAGTCCTGACCCTGGAGGCTGAAGGGCTAATGTGTCCCTCCACTTTTGAACAGAGATCTCCTCCACAAGAGCTCTGAACTCTTACTCTTGGGAGATGCTCCAGCTGACACCCCCCCCCCCGCAACCCTAAGCTTTGGTATCAGTGGAAAAGCCTACCTTGAGGTCTCCCAGGAATATCTATCCTCTATATAACACCCTGATTAAAAGAGGGCTTGTCCAGCCAAGGGCCACTGGGCTAACTGAGGAGGCTCTTCGGGGCCCGTGGGTTCCACTTTCCCCTTTCTCTCCCCCACCTCAGCGTTTTTTTGTTTTCTTTTTTTAAGTGGAGATGGCAAAGTGCAAAGTCCTCCATATGCAGGTTCAGTGACAATATGTACCAGGAACCTGGCGCTTTCGGCAGGCATGTATGGCTGCAGTACCTCTCTGGAGGATTGCCACAAATTCCAGACCAGCCAGGGCTACATAGTGAGACCCTTGTCTCAAAAGAAGACAAATGAAAGAAGGAAGGATGGGGAGTGGACAGGGAAGGAAAGATAGAGACAGAGGGAAGGAAAGGAAAAGATGAATGAAAAAAATAACCTGACCTGCGTTTGTTTGTTTTTTCTTTCAGTCTGCCCAGAGGTCTGTGCGGCTCGGTAAGTGTCTGGGTTTGCTGTCCTGTTACGATAAATCTTTCCGCCAAAAGCCACCGAGCCCCACTGCCACGTGTGTGCTCTACGCCAGCCGCCCGCCCAAGTTAGGGCCTCAATTAATGCACAGAGAGACTTGTATTAGGTTCAAAGCTGCTTGGCCAATGACTAGGATTTCTCATCTTTTAGCTCAGTCTGAATTATCATAAATCTATATATTTTATAAGACTTATCTTTATAGATGATGCCTTTTGCTGGCCCCCTCTCTTGCCAGTGGCTCACATCCTGCCGCTGGAGGATGTGAAGGGGAAAAGGGGACACTGTCCCATCTGGGCTAGTGAGCCCATCAGTCCCCAGCAGAGCCAACCTGCCACCTGTTATCATGTGCTGTAAAAGAAGCCTGGTCCTCAGGGTCAGAGTAGCGGGGTCAACTAGGAACAGAGAGAAAATTCAGTTTCCTTCTTTGTAACATGAAGATAGTGGGGTCACAGCCAGTCCATGTGGACATGGCTCTGGGCTCAGGGAGCCTGGGAATTTTGCACAAGGCTTGGCAGGCACCCACACTGAAGATCTCATTCCAAGCTGGTAGATGAAGAAAAGTCCAAAGCATCAACCACCGAGCAAGACACGAAGTTCCACAAACCCAAAAGCCTGCACTGTGTACCTGAACAGGAGGAGAACACGGCACGCGGCAGAGGCAGACCTCATGGCTTCTGTCCATGAGATTCTGAAGCTGGGCCTGATGGTGCATGATCTTGGTAGTCTGAGGCAGGAGGACTGATAGGCTGCACAATGAGTTCAAAGCTATCTAATCAATCTAGTGAGACCTTGTCTCAAAAGTGAGAAGTGAAAAGAGGGTATGGATATTGCTCAGTGGTGAGAGCATTTGCCAGCCATGCTTGTGGTTCTAGGTTCATCCCCTAGTACCACCAAGACAAAAAGACTAAGAGTCCCAGACAGTCGGTGGCACACTAGACAAGTGACATACCAGACAGACGGTGGCACACCAGACAAGTGACATACCAGACAGACAGTGGCACACCAGACAAGTGACATACCAGACAGACAGTGGCACACCAGACAAGTGACATACCAGACAGACAGTGGCACACCAGACAAGTGACATACCAGACAGACAGTGGCACACCAGACAAGTGACATACCAGACAGACAGTGGCACACCAGACAAGTGACATACCAGACAGACAGTGGCACACCAGACAAGTGACATACCAGACAGACAGTGGCACACCAGACAAGTGACATACCAGACAGACGGTGGCACACCTGCATCTTACTGGTTTTCATGTCTCTCATTTCTAGCTCCTGTCTATCAGCGGCTACTGGAAAGGATGAAGCATTAGCAGGAAATCCAAGGAGGAAAGTGCTGCGGCAGCTCCCTGCCAGTTTCTCTCAGTTTGCCAAAGAGACTATTGAATGTTTTGAAACCAAATATCACACTTCAACATACATGGGCTGCACCGTATTGAGATCTGAGCCTTGGATGGGTAGGGAAGGGGTGGAGGAGACGAGTCCTTTTAGCTTTTGATCCCTCTAAACGTAGTCGTTGACCCACTGAAAACACAGATCACCTGACTCGGGCTTCCAGAAAGGATGTCTCCAAAGCATGGGCTTTTCTGACTGTGCAGAGGCCCTGAAACAGGGAGCTGCAGCGCTTCGGAGCTCGCAAATGTGAATCAAGCAGTTGCGCATTCTGGAAAGCCCTGGCATGTGTCTGTAAAGCTCTTGTACAGCTGGGGAAATGCATCACTATAAGCTATGATCGGAACTGTTTCTGTCAGTATGTCTTGTATCCACACATGGCTTGGATGCTTCTATATGGCCCTGCCCAGGTAGAAAAGAAAGGGTATATAGAGCATGTAGAGTATAGATTCCCTGAGTGTGATGGAGCCGTGGTGTATTTGTAATAATAAAACCAAAGAGATATATGCCTGTGTGCTGGCTGGGCGTTGGGGATAGGTTCTGCTCCTTGGAGCCTGCAACCTCATGTCTGAAGTCCTCCCAAGAGCAGTTCAGCACGGAACCCTGGGGGTGGTTATTTGGCACAGTTCCAGCAGCTGGCCCTTGGATGCCCACACACTTGAGCGGGAGTGAACCTAACCCTTGGCTGCACTTTTTTCACCTGCTCCTGGGTTCTCGGCTCTCACATCGCCCAGTACTGTACCCCTTCATTACTTTGAAACTTCCTTCCAGGAATGAGATGCCACCTTTGTGTTGTGCTTTTGATGACTTGATCTTGCCAACATAGAACCATCATTCAAGGAATAAGATGGGTATTCCAGGAAGGGAGAACATTGGTAACAACAACAACAACAACAAAAAATAGCCAAACTGGGGCTGGAGCCCATCTCTCAGTTCCAGAGACCAACGTCTGACAAGAGAGCTGTCTGTATTTCCCAGGCTCTGCCTCCTGGGCCAATCCATTTTTAGCTCTCTTTCCTGCTCTTTCAGCCTACACCATCTAGACTGTGTTCAGTACTCCAGGATCAGTACTGTGTGGTTGTGGTAGTGATTTATAGACTTCATAGACCTGTGTAACACGGTGCTGACCTGCTTCCTGGGTTAGACATTTGTGGATATGAGGATAAGGTAAGACATGGTCTATAAAGTACCACAGTGTCGGATCCATGTTGTTGCTGTGCTTTCTGGGGTGCTCGAGATCCTTGTATCTATCACTTGGGTCTTTCCTGAAGGTAGCCTGCATCCCTGGAGAATGGTATAGCACTGTCCATCCACATCCTGCTCTGCTGTGGTGGCTCAGGTGGAGCACTCTACACACACACACACATACACACACACACACACACACACACACACACACACACACACACACACACACACA